CTTCGCCGTGTTGCGACAATCGCATATGTTCGATGATGAGTTGCTGTGGACATTGTGCTCGGAGCACGTCGGGGGCCCGAGCGGGCGCAGAGAGAACGCGTCAAAAACAAGAACGCTGTCCGATACAATGGAATCGGAGCGTATGCGCCCGGGACATGCAGAGAAACCATTTCGCGAGATTCCGACGTTCCCCGCATTTCTCAAATAATCTTCTTGAAGCTTGCCGATCGCATCGGAAGACCCGCCTAATCAACCAAATCCCTGCATCGTCTCAGCTGGAGGGGGGGCGGTGGCAGAGGGGGGCCTCCCGACGGGAATGGCGACGGAGGAGGAGTCGGTGATGGGGGTGATCGTGGACCTTTAACAGATCGTTTGGAACTCTGGAAATACGCGGGAATATCGTCGGCTACCAAAGTAATGCCGATTCCTGGCGCGACAATTTTTTGAGAGAGTGGAAGCTGCATGCGACAAGGGTGATCTCATCATATTCGTCCGACGTATGTCGTGCAACGCCATGTGCCGCGCAGGCGTTCGATCTTGGAGTAGACGCAAAGGTATTGCAGAAGTCAGGCAAGTACGAGCGTATCTACATGATGATTGCTTCTGACCTTACAGAGAAGTTCACCAATGCGAAACCAAAGAAGGACCCGCCTCCACATCCGGTTCATCTCATCGCGCGGGCGCTTCGCATGGAGCACGAGGCGCGCGGCGAATCTCGCTTACTCACTGGGCGAGAGATGATGCACCTAATATGTCGATGACTTTCAATCCATGCAGAACATGGCAGGGGCGTGGTCGCAACGAGTGGATGGCGCTGCGCGGTGGCTTCGGCGATAGTTCTGGCCCGCCCCCCGAAATGGCAGCCGCCAGTCGAGAACATTGTTATGTGCAAATGAAGCTGTCCCCGAAGATGAACAGGGCCATTGCGCGCTATGGCGTGAGTGGCGGCCCACTAGGATCAGGCGTCAAAACATATGAGTGGCTATCTTGGCAACTGCAGAATATTTTGACAAAAAAACGAGAGGAGCGAACGTGATCTCGATTGTCGAAAGAGAACTCTCAACGCAAGGTGCAAGGTAAAGGATAAACACGCAGCCCCTGGTCCTGTCGACCAGGAGGAAGTGGGGAAGACCGCGGACAGCTTGAAAAACAGGCGGTTGTAGTAAGACGTCCTATGCAGGCATGTTGAAAAAGGTGGTTTTTGACCGCGCGAGGAGCAAGGGGGTCCATTCGATCATCAGAAGCCTGCGGCAGCTCCGGCGACCCCGTCAGTTGTGGAGAAGCAAGATAAGGGCAATAACGCAGGCATCAAACGCAGACCGGCTACCCCGGGGCCCAATGGCAGCGGGGGTTTGTCCGCGGGTTCGATTGAGAAACAACAGAAGGAGGTGTTTTGTTACGCCTTCTCGAGAGGCAGGTGCCTTGGCCGGCGCAATGGCCCTCCCTGTTGCCGCGCGCGCAGGAGACAGACTCTTGAGAACGTTGTGTAACCGGACAAGTGGAGGCCAGCTGTGCAGGAATCTGGCAAGCAGGTATAAGGGCGCGCTCAAAAAAATGCGGAATCTGCGGCGGCTAACGTAGCGATGGCATTTTCCGCGGCTGGTTCTGACGCTGGCAGCGAGAAGGGCAGCCAGCAAAGTACCAGTGGCATAGGGATTTGTAAAGGCAAAGGAGAAGCGCCATGCTGGAACTGGACGGAGAAGGGCGAATTTTCTTTTGGCACCCGATGCCGATTCCGTGCCATCACTCCTGGACACCTGTGACTATGGCTCAGCTACCTGCTCCCTGGGGTGCGCTGATCACCTGTATTTTAATATCATGATTATGGCAGTGATTCTGTTCCGATGCGTGCTTTCCGCCTCTGCGTGCGCGCGACGCCGAATACGGAGTCGTTGCAGCCGCAGGCCATGCCCAGAGAGGGCATAGTATGGTCATGATGCTTGTCCAGCACCGTTGCAGTTCGGTACGTACTCCGACGCGTCGGTGTCTGTTGATGAGAAACGTTTTTTCCAGTGGTGCCCCCCATCTAGCACCCGCGCCCTGCGCGGGATACATCAGGGATACTGTAGACCCAGCGCCTGTCATAATCTCAGCTGCGTCGGAATGGGAGGGCCCTCTCCACTCCATGCTGAATGCCGTTTCTGCTGACGGAGGCCATCGAGATAATGCGTGGTGTAAGCCCAAGGCCGAGTTGTGTGTGAAGGCTGCTTTTTCCGCGCCCGGCGGCTTAATTGTCCGGTCTCGCCATCTCCCTAAAAGTCCCGCTGCGACTCTGAGGAGACCCCGGGTAGGGAAGGCACTCCCGTCGTTTAAAAATGACAGATGGCTTTTCCCTCAGGGAACAATATCGAAGATGGCCCTTTCATCGAACGCGTCACTGTCTAAGGCCATATCCAAGGCGTCTAAGCTTGAGAGTGAGGTTTGGCGGCGACGCGGCCGTCGGAAATACAAGACATGACCGCGTCGGCCTGGGTTCAATGCCTCTCATCGTTGACGCCGGCCGCGGATTCAACTTGGCTGCTGAGCGGTATATCTGGAGCGCCAATGCAATTGATAAGATCAGGAAGCCCTTCCCTGGGATTGCCCTGAGTACTGCCGGAGGTTCTAGCGTGGTGGCGCTCGGTTCAGTGGGCGTGGCGGGCAACGCGCTTCAAACTGGTCATGTCAAAGCGCTCGACATGCCAGAAATTCCGAGGGCACTTTCGCTTGGGGAACGATGCATGGAACATGGATTCAGTCTTTACTGGCCTGCTCGTTAAACCTCGTATTTACCCCTGCCCGACGGACAGATAATTAATTTGACGGTCGATGGGGCAATGCCGTACCTCGCACTGTCGGGAGGAGAGGCCTTCGGCCGATGGAGCTGTGCAGTCGCTCGAGGTGCAGTTGCCCTGGAGAGGTGTGGTTGCGTGATGCTGGTCGCTGCGAGCTTTCTGGGCTATGTAGAAGCGGTGGGAGGATTTCCCGCTGATTCCATCCGAACCCGCATAACAATAGTTTTTGCGCACTCAAGAGCTGATTTCAACGCGCATGTGCCAATGTGGACGACCGATCAAATTGGGCGATGATTTTCCATCAGAGGTACCTGTGGACGTCAGTGATTATCTTTATTGCGAGCTTGCGATTGCCCGAAAACGGGGTTGGTCGCGTTGTGCACCGAGCGTTCTCAATGCTATCCTGTTGCCGTCGATTCAGTCGATGGTTTGCGGATCGGGGAAGCGCGAGCGAACCTACTTTGACTGTCTTGGGATCCGCCATATCATGGAGATGATGGGTGCCTTGATTTTACCCCCGCCCCCGCTGGGCCAGAGGCAGCTGAGATCGCTGGCCAAGGCGACGAAGAGTCAGTGGATGTCGCTGGGCCACCTGTAGAGCCAGAGAACGTTCGCGTTGTGATGTCGAATGCCGGGCGTCTAACGCGAGACGCGGTCTTCGTCCAACATCTTCTGGCGCATCTCCTCAGTACTCCGTTTTGCGAGACGCCCAGAATATCGAAGGCCCTTCGGTTGCGTCGCCGGAAGAGGCAGTGCAAAGGGCTAGAATTTCCCGGGCCTGATGCTGATCCTCGTTGCTTTGGACACCTCGCCGCCATTGGTCGCTGTTTCGCGGCTGACGAGCTATCGCAGATACTTCGCGGAGAAAATGCGTGCGTGAAGTTTCGCGATTGGTTCCGGAAGTTCATTCCAGCGCAAGGTTTTCATGGTGAGGCAGCGGTGCGCGTCTGCAGTTTCTCGGTGAATCTGAAAGCCCCGGGAGGAGAATTTGCGTGCTGTTTCGCGGATGGTGCCCGCGATCGTGCGAATGCTTGCCGGGAACTTGAGATTGCGCAGGATGCCGCCATCCCGGGGGGAAGAGATGCGCGGCGGTTGCCGAGAGATCGGACGGTGTAGTGCAATGCGCGGTAGGACAAGGATGGAGAGTCCAATTGGCAGACCAGGTTTGGATCTCACTTCTCCTCAGCACTTCTTCCTTTCGGACCCCTGATCCGCTGCGAGCCTCCACCCGAATCGTGATATCAGGTTGCTGAGGCAGGCGTTTCCATGGTCCCGGGGGTATGTCTGGGGCATGCGCGCAAAACGGGGGGCTCGTTGGACCAGAAAGTTATGTTGCTCCCTTGGGGTCGCTCGAAGGGCAGGGCGTGATGACTGGGCGCAGACCCGACGGCGCTCGACCTGTCATTGGAAGATCAGAACAAGTCTACAGTGGCATTCTTGACCCTATGGCGTCGGATCATGAGCCTGAATTTCCGATGAAAGACGCTTGGGGGGCCCTCGCCCGCATTGCTTCGGTGACGGTGCCGCCCAAGGAAGCGGCTGGCGATTCGCCCTGTTCTGGAACTTTGAAGAGATTGCAATTGTGGTACTGCAAGAGTCAGGAACAGTATGCATCGAGTGGCCCGCGGCTTGCCGGTGCTGGCGAGGCCCGCGAGTGCGGGATTTCTTTCGTGCTAACCAATCTCATAGATGTAGATTGCACGGATGTGCAAATAGACTGACAGACATGCTGGGACACTTTGTGAAACAAAACCCTGGGCAATCGCATCGACGTCGTCGGAGGTCACGGATGGATTGCGCCGTTGTTGAGATGGAATGCGAGCGCGTGTCGCGGCAAGAGGAACGACTTGCAAATCAGCCGGGGATTGCGCCGACGCGCTTGCAAAGCATTTTCATGATGGTCTTGCGCGTGCCTCTCGTGTGCGTATTGCTATGTCCACGTGCAATCCGAATGCGCGCGCCGCCGTTGTCGTTTCGGCTCAAGGGCCCGCGGTCGCAGCGACCGCCGGCCCGCGAACTGGGCCGCCCCTCGGGCGGCCGTTACTTCCCCACTCTTGCTGCTTTGCTGAGTCGCTCCTCGCTTGCGCCGCATTGACTTTCGCCGTGTACCAGACAGCTGCAGCAATCAGAAAGCGCGTTAAGTTTGTGCGTGCGGTTCCTGATGTAGAGGAACCGCCGCGGCAAATTACCAGATGGAAGGATCGATCGGTCGGTCATTAAGAGAAGATGGGCGCAGGCGCGGACTCGATCCAGAGGCATGGCACTGCCCCGCTATCTGACCACAATTCGAATAGCACGAACCAGGCGATGTTCAGTTGCATGACTGGCTTGGCCGGAGAAGCCGCTGACAGGTTCGTGGCCCGCCCTTCTCTCGCAGTGACCACGGCTGACATTATTGGAGACGTTGAGGTGGCCGATGTTTCCATGGGAGGAGGTCCCGCTGGTCGCGCAGGAGTGAGTGCCAAGGTGGGTGATGTTCCAACTGGTCAAGGATCAGTGGGCGGCTCGTATCAGCCTGCTGGTGACAGGGGAAAACCGAATCCCTCCGCCACCAGCTCAGCTGGTGGAGGAGGTGATGAGGGGATCCCGCCGGCAGGACCACCAACAGCTGGAACTCAGACTTCTGGGCCAATGGAAGTGGAGAAGGATCCCGACTAATTTGCCCGAGGCCCCTGGAACATCGTGCAGTGGCAGAAGGCAATGATTCAGGTCTCTGAGGGCATCGAAGGTAAGAATGCAGAGAGGGTTCTCGGCCTTCCGGAATGGAACCAAGTGGTTGAGGACATATTGAAGTTGTGCATTGACGTAACGAGCCCGGTAACTTCCGACGTCAATCTCCTCCCATTTCACAAGGAGTGCCAAGCCATGGCCGCCACTGCGGAGGCAAATGGCCACGCGTGGGTTCCTGTCATCGGAGAGGATCTTTTCTCGGCGTATAACACGGGTAAATTCCCGGATCAGTTCATGAAGCCAATGGAAAAGACGTCGTACAAAACCGGCAACAGGGAAATGCGCAAACATCGAAACATGGTGTCTCTGATTGTTGGCGATTCGACGACGACGACGGCGCCGTAGCGCCGCGCACATTCGTCTCAATATTAGAAAGAGGTTCACGGATTGAGGGCGGTTCCTTTTCATAATGTGGTTCTCATTCTATCGCCGCGCGCATTCGTTTTAAAGAGTTTTAATCGTTTCCGTTTTCCAATGGTCAGCATACCAGGACGGGCGTTTTAGAACGACTCAGGATTGTCAAGGCGCAGCACTTTCGTTGGTTCGCGATGTTGAAGTCCTAGAAATGGCGTTCTTGCGCGTTTCAGGATCGTTCAGACGCAACAATCAGGTTGACTCGCGGCGTTGGAGTCCCGAGAGTGATGTTTTGGTAAGCTTCAGGGTCTTAAAACAGTTGTCTCCCAACGAGGCATTTCTCTCTGTGGAAAAGAATCCTTCTAGGTGTTTCTGAAGAGCTTGGAGGGAAGGTGTATTCCAACATCGTTGTTGAATCTTGGGTTTGCAGTGGTCCCTCCGCCTTCCTTCTCCCGCCTCCCTTCTCCTTCCCTTATCTTCCCCTTCTCTCCCAACTCCTGTTGTAATCCAACATCGTTGATGAATCTTGGGTTTGCAGTGGTCCTCCTCCTCCCTTTTCCTGGGTGCATGGATGCAGCGTATGTCCATAAGTCCAATCCAGGAGCAGAGAGGGGGAACAAGTAAGATTAGCCCAGGGGCTAAGGGCGCGCCTGAGGAGAAGAAGGAAGGCCGAGAGGAGGGAGGACAAGAGAGAAGAAAAAGGTATGTGCCCCGATCCTCTCACGCTCCCCGCGCCTCCGTGAAGTTAAACTCCAAGAGGGCCCTACGACATATTTCTTGCTGCTGGCGCTGCGAAGGGACAGGGGAGGGGCGTCTCAGCTTTTGCGGGGTGCTGCAGAAGACGCGCGCTGCGAAACACCTTAGAGGTAGCGACATCGTAGGCGACAGGCGCTTTGAATTCAAAGTAGTGTTCCAGGAGAGACCGCATGGCGTCTCGGTCGAGATGGCTCTCCGCTCAATCTCGGCGCGATCCGGCGTTGGCCGTGCTGACTCGCGTTGAGGAGGCTTGCGACACCGAGTCAGCACTGTTCCGCTTGTGCTTCCAAGCCACCGCCAGGCTACATCCGCCTGTCCTTTGTGCACCCAGCCGGATTCCTATCTCGTGCTGTCGCCACATACGTCATCACACTCTTCGTCGTCGTTGTCGCCTCTCTCTCGTTGTTTCTGTGGCTCTTCGCACCAGTTCTTCCTGCATCGATTGGTTTTGTCTGTTGAGGTGGATGAGGGTGAGGAAGGGAAGGAGGATGAGGATGAGGATGAGGATGAGGATGAGGATGAGGATGAGGATGAGGATGATGATGATGATGATGATGATGATGATGATGAGGAGGAGGAGGAGGAGGAGGAGGAGGAGGAGGAGGAGGAGGAGGAGAAGGAGGAGAGGAGGAGGAGGGGAGGAGGGGGGGGGAGGGGGGGGAGGAGGAGGAGGAGGAGGCTGGGACGGGAAATGAGAGGACGAGGGGCATCTTGTCCTAGGCTTCTATGGGAAGCCAACACGGACAGGGCCCAGTGCCGACTGGAGCACGTGCAAGCACTGGGGGCCCGCTCGTCGTGCGTCGCTTCCTGCGTCTGAGCCCCTGGTTTCTCTCAGGGCGTGGGGCGTCTGGGTGCCCCCGCTGGAGGAGGAGGAGGAGGAGGAGGAGGAGGAGGACGAGGACGAGGAAGAGGACGAGGAGGAGGAGGAGGAGGAGGAGGCTTTTTCTCAGGGCTCCGCGTGCCTCTTTCTTGGTGGCAAGGCGGTTCATTATATGCTCGCCCTTTGCGCCTCTCCCCTAAGTTGTCGGAGGTTGATAGGCCTCCTACCCTGACACGTCGATTAGCGAATTGGCCGTTTTCGGTTCGCGAGAGCGCGTCGCGGCCGTCATTTTTGCGGGTCCAGGTCCGTCGGTGCCGGTCCGAGGCCGTTGTCACCAGAAAGGGTGGCTTACTAAAAGGAGGTTTGTCCACCGCCGAAGTTGCCCATGCGCCGCCTCCCAGTCCCACTCCCTCCCTTGCTGTCCTGTGCTGAGCGACCACCCACGCTGCGCTTCTCGGCACCCTCTCAGCACCGCACGTTTCTGTGACCCTCTCATGGATCTGCGCCTCCCTCCCCCGGCCGGCAGGCGCCGCAGGCGTGCCCGCTGGAAGTTCCGCGAGGTCGGTGGGGGGGGGAGGGCGCAGATGGGGCAGGAGGGCCCAAGTGAACAGGCATGCGGGGCAACGGCCACTTTCACGCCTGTCCTGGAGTGGGACAGCTCGGATACTAGGATGATAGTGACTACTGATCGGATGAGGAGGACAAGGATAAAGAGGAGGAGGAGGAGGAGAATGAGGAGGAGAAGGAGGAGGAGAAGGAGGAGGAGGAGGAGGAGGAGGAGGAGGAAGGAAGAACATGAGAAGGACGACGAGCTATTCAAGTGGCTTAAGCCATTCCGCCGACCCCCAGAAGAAGGACGAAGCTCACGAATGAGGTCTTTTGTGGCCTTTGTGGGCGTCCTGGTCTCGTTGTGCCGGCATGACCATGGAGTGATTTCTCAGAGCGCGGGTGCAATTGCGGTTGGATGCCGCTCAAGGGAAGTTGGCGTGCACCAAGTGTTGCAATGCATGAGTGCCAAGAGATCGCGGCAGAGCGTGAGTGCGCGGTGTTGAGGCGTTCCGCGGGGGGTCGCCGCGCTCTCGCTCGAGGCATTTCCACGATTCGATCCAGCATGGCTCCCGCTTATAAGCCCTGGAAATCTACCAGCGAATCGTGCTCGCGCCCTGGTGCTGGCTACCTCCTCCGTCGGGCAAGGGGCGCCCAGACCTTTTCCAGAGCACAGTTCGACAACAGAAGTGTAATCAAATGGCTTGTTTGCGTCTGACCCCTCCTCGCTCCTCTCTCCTCCCTCTCGGAGCCCAGAGCTTCGAGGACGTCTCCGGCAAAACGGGCCAGACCACCTCTGGCGCGGCATCTCGGAGCCCACAGTTGCGAGGATGTCTCAAGCGAGACGCGCCAGACGACCTCGCGCACATTTTCTGAGAGCCAAGAGTTGCGAGGATTTTTTTGGCGAGACGAGCCAGACCACCTTGCGCACATTTTCTGCGAGGTCACAGTTGCGAGGATGCTTCAGGCGAAACGAGCTGGACCACCTCGCGCACATCTTCAAGGAGCCCAGAGTTGCGAGGATGTGTCAGGCGAAACGGGCTAGAACTTCGCGCGCAGCATCTCGTAGCCCCGAATGGCGAGGATGTCTCAGGCGATTCTGGCTGGACCACCTCGCGTGCGACATCTGAGAGCTCAGAGTTGCGAGGATGTCTCAGGCGGCGCCCAGACCCCTTCCAGAACGCAGTTCGATAACGGGAATGTGTAATCAAATGGTGATAGGTTGTACCGCCTGCCACGGCCCCGCTTCCTCTTTACGCGCATGCACACCCGATGCGGCCTAGAGAGCTGGGGCGCCGTTGTCAGGGGTCTCCAGATCGGTGTTGGCTCCTACTTCGTCGAAGGTAGGAAGCGCGCTTGCGACAAGCGTGACAACAAGGGCGTTGGCAAAAGGCGATACAACCCGCTTGGACTTTTGCTGAGAGTTCATGGCCGATCTGTGGTGCTGGAGCTTCAACATCAAGAAAATATTGCTGGTGGGAAGGTATAAATGTGGACTGGGATCAGGTCTGGCGCAAGCAGCAGACAGAGGACACTCGCAGGCAGGAGACGCGGGAACGCGAGGCTGCCGAGCACGGCACAGGGCCCGACACAGGCGGCAAGCCTGGCAGGCGCCGCTTTGACACGGCCTGGGACGACGCCCCCAGTGCCCGCCCTCGGCGCCAAACAATTGCTGCAGCCACCACTACCCGGCTGCACTTGGCACCTCTATGGGGCGTGCTGCCCGCGGGCACCGCGCCACTCCACATGGCCTTCCTCTCTTCTCTCCTCTCCTCCTTGCGACGTACCTCCCGGGTGGGAGGCGCGTCGCGCACATACTGCCCCTTGCACCATTTCGGTGCCTCCCTGCTGCACACGTTTGGCCGCTCATTGGGTTGCCCAGCATCGTTACCAGGCTTCTGCACCTCCCGGTGGCCCCGCCGCCGCCCCCTCGCGGCGTACCTCCCGAGTGGGACGCGAGTCCTTCACATTCTGTTCCCTGCGCCATTTCGGCGCTTCTCTGCTGCACATCGCTGCACCGACCACTGGGCCGCCCAGCGTCGTCACCCGGCTTTCGCACATTCGGCATTACCCATGCCGCTGTCCGCGAGGTAACTCCCGGGTTGGACGCGCGTCGCTCATTCTCGGTCCCCTGCACCACTTGGGTTCTTCCCCGTCGGATCCCGATGGACCGCCCATCGGGTCTTGCGTTCGGTACCCGGCTTCTGCACCTCACGGCGCGCCCCGCCGCCGCCCTCCCGCGACGTACCTCCCGTGTGGGACGCGCGTCGCTCTTTTCCTGGCCCCTGCGCCATGTCGGCGCTTCTCTGCTACGCCACGCTGTGCCGCCGTTTGGGCCGCCCAGTTCCGTTACCCGACTTCTGCACCTCCTGGGGCTCCCCACCGCCGCCCCCTCGCGACGTACCGCCCGTGTGCGACGCGCGTCGCTCACTCCTTGCCCCCTGCGCCTTTTCGGTGCTTCTCTGCTACTCCGCGCTGTTCCGCCCTCTGGGCCGCCCAGCGGCGGTACCTGGCTTCTGAATCTCCCGGTGTTCCCCGCCGCCGCTCCTGGCGTCGTACCTCCCGTGTGGGACGCCCGTCGCTCGTTCACCGTCCGTCCCCTGCGGCACTTCGGTGCTTCTCTGGCGCACCACGCTGGCCCGCGTGTGTGCCGCCCTGCCTTGCTACCTGGCTTCCGCACCCGTCTGTGCTCCCCTACTTCCGCGGCGGCCCCGCGCTTTCTCTTCCCGTTGCGGTGCTGTTCCGCCCTGCTTCTGTGGGCCCCCGGGACGGTATGCCCGCCGCCACTTGTTCCTCCCCTCTCCGCCCTGTCGCCCCCTGACTGCCCTGGGCGGCCACTGTCCTCTCTGCTGGGCGGTCCGGTCGCGTTGCCGCTTCGCCCGCTGCCTCACGTCGCTTCTCCCTCACGTCGCTTGTTCGCCCCGCAGCCCGCGGGCGCCTGGGACGCTTCGCCCGCTGCCTCCCGCCCCACCTCTCCGCCCCTCGGCCACCAGACTTCGGGCGGTCACGCTGAAGTGCCCCTGTCACTGCCTGCCATCCGCTGCTCCCGCCCCCGCACGGCTCAGTGCTGTGCCTTCTCCTCGGGGCGCCGCGGTAAGTTGTTCGCGGTGTTTCCTGTGCTCCCCCAGCCCCTGGCTGGCGGCCACCCCCCGCCACTCTTGCCACCTTGGTTCGCCACGGCCGCCCACCGCGCACTGGCCCTGCGAGCCTGGCTGCTGCTGCCCGCTCGGTTGCTCATCGCCGAATTCTTCGGCGTCTGAGCGTCCCTCCTTCCTCTTGGCCGTCCCCCTCCATCCTTGCATGCCGGCCAATTCGCTAGTTAGTGCCCCTACCTAGCTGATCGCTGGTGCGGGTTTCGCCGCCTCGCCGCTGACGAAAAAAGTGCAATCAAATGTTTTTTTTTAAATCTGACCTCTCCTCGGAGCCCAGAGTTTTGAGAATGTCTCAGGCGAAGCGGACCATATCATCTCGCCCGCAGCATCTCGGAGCCCCGAGTTGCGATGATGTCTCAAGCGAAACAGCCTGGTCTACTTCTTGCGCGGCATATCGGAGCTGCGGGGTGCGAGGATGTTTCAAGCGAAAGGCGCCAGACTTCCTCTCGCGCGGCAGCTCGGAGCTCAGAGTTGCGAGGATGGCTCAAGCGTAACGCGCCGACCACCTCACGTGCGGTAGCTCGGACCCTGGAGTTGCGAAAATGTTTCAACCGAAGCGCGCCAGGCCGACATTCGCGCGACATCTCGGAGCTCAGAGTTGTGATGAAGTCGCAAGCGAAACGCGCCTGACCACCTTGCGCGCGGCAGCTCGGAGCGCAGAGTTGTGAGAATGTCTCAGGCGAAACTCGCCAGACCACCTCGCGCGCGGCCTCTCGGAACTCAGAATTGGGAGGATGTCCCAGACAAAACTCGCCAGACCACCTCGCGCACGGCATCTCGGGGCTTAGATTTTCGAGGATGTCTTAAGCGAAACCGCCCGGACCACCTTGCGCGTGGCGTCCCGGAGCCAAGGTTCTAGAGGATAGCTCTGGCGAAACCGCCAATCCCGTACAACTCAGAAACGAGAGTTGTGAGTATGTCTTAGGCGAAACGGCCTGGACCAGAAGATTTTTGGGGATGTCTCTTTTCCCCTTTCTTTCGGCCATCCGCGCGCGGCGGGGCACGGTCGGACGGGGCTAGGACGAGGACAACTCCGTCCCAGAGCATTCCAGAACGCTCTCAGCGTGTTCCGGAACGCTCTGAGAAGGCCGCCGCGCCCGAGACATCCTCCAGACCTGCGGGATCACAGAGAGTCTCGACTTATCCTCAGCCGATGTTATCCTCGTCCTGGCTTCGTCTTGCCCGGGGGTGCTGCGAGGCATCCTCCCGCCCGGCGCCGCCTGGGCCGCGGTCGCCAGCGCGCGGCCGGGCCACATCACCGCCCCGCTGCCCGGCGAGGCACCCCTCCGGGGGGGGGGGCAGAGCCTCCTCGCCTCCCGTCCGTACGGTCGACATGGGCACCGAAAGAGCGAGTCCTAGCTGACCCGATACGCTCGTGTTGAAACGCAGCACGTGCCGTGTTCAAGACGTCCGTGTTGACGCGCTGCGTGTTGGCTCGGCCCGTGTTGGCCCACGTCTTGGCGAACATATCGCGCCAGACCTGCGTTTTCAGTCTACGTGTTGATCTCCATGCCAGCACGCTGCGTGTTGCGTGTTGCGTATCGGGACAGCTAGGCTCCCTTCCGTGCGGTCGACATGGGCACGGAGAGAGCGGGCACGAAGACCGTCGGCAGTTCCCGTGCATTCTGAAGAGGACTCGCTGTCGGTGTCGCCGCAGGCGTTGTCCATTGGAGACCGGAGGCCGCCTGCCAAGGAGATCTGTTGCCGTGCATCGTGCCCATTTTCTCCGTACCCACGTCGGTACTCCAAAGCCTTCCTGGTATGCACGAGTCCTGGAGGCTTTGATGCGTTTTTGGGCGTTCTCGCCGCCACGACTGGACGCAGATCGGAAAGTGGCCAGGGCGACGGACCCCGGGAGGAGTCTGGGGACTTGTCTTGGGTGGGTTTAGGGCGTAGTGTTTTCCAGATCGAGTACCGAGGACTAAAGCTTTTGGCCCGCTTTGGGCGTTCGGATGCCTCCCGAGACCTCGGCGGGGATCCCCAGGGACCTCCTCTTCCTTCTCCTCTTCCTTCTTCTCTTCCGCGTCGCCTGTCCTCTCCTTCCGTGCGTTTGGTAGTCCTTGCTCGTTGTGGCGCTCCTGCTGCGCATTCAGCCTTGTGTACGGATATCTTGTCTGAGGGTGTGGGGCCGATGGGTGGTGGTGTTGGACCGGGCAGCGAGAATGAGGATGATGAGGACGAGGCGGAGGGGGTGCATTAACAGCCACCTCGACCGATTCCACTGGATCGGGAGGGGACGAGGAGGATGAGGAGGAGGAGGAGGACCAGTGTAAACCCACGACTCATCAACGATGTTGGAATAAACCCTCCCTTCAAGCTCCCTCTTCATAAACCGCTGCAAGGGTTCATTTCCACTGAGGGAACGGCCTCGTTGGGGGACAATCGTTTCACGACACTGAAGCATGCCAACGCACCATTCTCGGGACTCCAACGCCACGGATCAACCTGACCGTAGCGTCTTGACGATCATTAATCGCAGCAGAACGCCGTTCCTGGCATTTCAGCACCGCGTATCCACGTAACTGTTACACCCTCACAATCCTGAATCCTTTCGAAACGCACCTTCTGGTTCGTGCACATTTTTAAAGCGAATGTGCGCGGCGCGACGACGAGAGCCACATTTTGAAAACACAACGGCCCTCAACCCGTGAAGCTCTTACACATTGTTGAAGCGAATGAGCGCGGCGCTACAAGCGAGAGCCTTATTTTGAAAACCACCCGCCCTCAATCCTTGAAACTCTTCAAAATTCAAAACGAATATGGTCGGCGCTTAGGTGAAGCCACATGTTGAAAACCACACGCCTTCCATATGCGAAGCTGATGGTAAAGTTTAAACTTCAGGGTCGTAAATGGTGAGGAAGTCTCAGGCGAAACGCCTGGCCCCCCTGTTCGACCAGCCTCGGGGTGCGACAGGGAGGAGTTATTTATTTGTAAGTAAAAGGAATCGAGGAGGAGGAGAAGGAGGAGGAGGAGGAGACAGTGGAGAATCAGGAGCAGCAGCAGTAGCGAGAGCAGGCGATGATGATGAGGATGATGATGAGGATGATGATGGTGATGATGATGATTCTAATGATGATGGCCCTGTTTGCACATCTCATCTTCAGTGGATCCGAAGGCCGTCGTGGTCACGCATCTTCGCCGCGACCGCGTCGGCTCTAGTCTTTTTCTGGAGGGAGAGGCCTCCGCCCGGATGCGCGTTGGCTCCGGGATCGGCCTCCCGCTTGCAGGCAACGCCATTCTCCTGTGCCTGGCGCGCTGGTGGCTGCAGCCCGCCGTGCCCGCGACCCCCGTCGCGCCGGCGGCAGCGGCGGCCTTCCCGCCTGAGAAGGCGGGCCCGTTCCTGGCGCCGGGCGAGGCCGCTGGGGTCCAGGTGCCGCTGGCTGACTGCCTGGCGGCCGCCTTGGACGTGAGGGAGGCCGCGCGCGCGTGCCCTTCGCCCTGCCCGCAGTGCCCTGTCTGCGACGAGGGCAGCGGGCCGCGGCCTTCTTTGGCGTGGGAGGCGACGCTGTACGTCTTGCTGCTGCTGGCCTCCGAGCTCCTGCGCTGGGGGCTCTCGCTAGCCGCGGCGGCGGCCCGACTCCCTTGCCGGGGCCGCTCTGGGCGGCCCGCTGTGGAGGGCGACCTCGACGTGAACGCGCAGCAGCCTGTGCGTGTGGACTCGCCTGATCGACGCGGGCAGCGGATTGGCGGGCTTGGCCGCTTCTCATGATCTCGGTCGGCGATGAGATTTGGGTTGGGTACGACGAACCTGGGGCGCGGCTCGCGCACAAACGCATCGTTGTGGCGCTGTCTTCCCGAGGGCTCGAGCACTATGCGGTGCTCACACCCGACTTCGATGTCTACGCCGAGGAGTGTGACGCGGGGAACGCGGACATCCGCAACTGGTGGAAGGAGTGGGGCCCTGCCGCAGCCCCGCTGGGTGCCGTCATACCTGCTGGGCTGCGACTGTACGACTTCGCCGCCACGCCGACGGTCGCCCAGCTGGCCCAGGCCTGCACGCTCGGAGCCGCGAAGATGGTGGAGCACGAGCGCGACCTTGGCGGGGGTGCTCCTGCTGCTGCCCCTGCTCCTGGCGCTGCTGGTGGTGGCGGCCTGCCCGCCCTCCCTGTGGTCGCAGGCGGCGCGCCTTTGGGAGGCGGCATCGCCGCGGGCGTGCCCGTGACAGTCGGCGGCGCCGCTGCAGCCGCCGCCGCCCCCGCCCCGGCAGCCGCTGGCGGCGCGGCGGGCGCTCCAGCCGCTGGGGGCGGGCTCGCTGGGCTTGCCGCCTTGGTTGCCGCTCCCCCTGCCACTGATGGAGATGGCGTCGCTGCTGCAGCCCCCGCGTCTCCCGACGGCGCTGCTGCCCCAGGGCCTGGGGACCTTCGGACGCTCGCCACGGCCTACGACATGCAGGGCCAACGGCATCGGGAGTTCAGGGACAGCGTGCAGCTCGTGCGACCGACGAGCTTCCCCGACTGGCCTGCGCCAGGCCCTTCCACGTACCGCTGGGTCGCGACATACCAGGTGGAGAACGGGGGCTCGCCGATGGGGCATCATCTCGCCTGGAAGGCGGCTTCGGGATCTACAGTGCCTGTTGACGATCCCATCGTCTCAATGCATCGCGAGTTTTCTAAGATCATGCAGGTCGCCCGGTCGTGCGACCAGATAGTCGGGTCGAACCTGACTTCCATGGTGCTTGTCGCGAGGCAGCTCCAGCTCCGCGAAGAGCGGTACAAGGACAAACTGGTTTGCTCACGGTCGCTCGGCAGCGGCGGTGACGAGCAGTTCTTCTTCACGTGGATGCGGTCCACCAGGGGGCTCATGGTCTGCCCCGCCCTGTCCTGTCCGAGTGGATCTCGAAGCAGCTGGCCGCCGAGTCGGCCATCGCGAAGGAGCGCCGCAAGGCGTGCGAGGAGCGGCAGCTGCTCCGCCCGCCCGCTGGTGGCCGCGGCGGTGGACAGGGCAGCGGCGCTGGCAAGGCTGCGAAGTCCTAGCTGGCGTCCGACGGCGTTTGTGTCGCGGCCGCAAGTGCTTTGGCCATCCTGGAGGGCTCCCCTCTGGCCCCTCGCTCCTGACAGCCCATGGCTGTCAGTCGTCAGCGAAATGCTCTTTCCCTTCCTTTTCTCAGAGGAGCATGAAGTACTGATATTGATAGTTTTCCAGATTTCCAGGTTTTCCTGTTCTTCCGCGGGGGCTCCAGGGACGAATGGTCGAGCGCATTCCGTCGCGCAGGTTTTTTGCGTGATGTTCGCGGTGCGTTTTTCGCGCTCCGGAGCGCCTTCGAAGATTCCAAGCTGCATGCTGTGTTGCTTTTGGGGAGTCCGCGAGTCGCAGCTGCCGTGGCGCCGTTTTCGAGGTAGCCCCTTCGAGTGCTGTTCGCGGGTGCAACGCGCGACGCGCGCTGCGCCCAATCGCGCGCGGCGCGGCGCGTGAATCAGCCGGCCGCGCCCGTCGGACCGCCCGGATATTATTTCTGGATTGTAGAGTGTGTCAGAAAACGCTTCCGCTTTTTTCCGCCCGGAATTTTTCATTTTTTAATCTGTTTATTTTTTGTTTTTTCTTATATAAAACAGTTTTGAGGGGTGGAATGCGCCCGCCGCGCAGGACGTCTGAAGAGTTCCGAAATCCGGAAATGTTCAAAATGGATTCCGGAATTTTTCAAAATCGACCCCGGAAATCTTCAAGAAGGATCCCGGAACATTTCAAAAAGTAGGCCGGACATGTTCAAGCATGTTCCCAGATTTGTTCAATTTTACCCCCGGGGAATTTTCCAGAGTCGAGCATGCTTTGCCTTGCCAGGTCTTTGGGAATCCGCCGAGGCGCGCGGTGCGCGGCGGCGGGCGACGGGGCGGTGCGCCACCGTCCCCTCCGCGCTCGGCAACGAGAGGGGGGGGTCAGCAATTGCCAAGTAGCCCTTTACGGGCGACCACTCGATTGCGAATGGCTGACTGACCAGCGGCGCCAGCCAGAGTAGACAAACCTCGACGCCAGGTGTACCCCGCGCGAAGGCTGTTAGAAATCCCGGAATTCCCGGAACGTATCAATAGCACGTTGTGTCAATAGATTCTTCCTGTCCTATTTTCTACCTCGCGAAGTTCCCCCAGATGCTGGGGGTCGCGGCGGTGCTCTGGCTCGGATCGACTGGGCCAGCGATGGCATCGAGGCGATCAACTGGCTTGGTGGGGGCGGGGCGCCGCCAACTCGGAAGCGCCCCGCAGTTTTGCAGCAGCGGTCGCTCGACTGCACTGCCGCGCAATATGTCAAGTTCGGCGGCCCGCCAGCTGACGCATCCCGCTCCA